TCAATCAATATCACGTCTTGGTGTTCGTTGTCACAATTTTCTTCTCGCTTTATCTCTCGTTATATTGTTGCCGAGAAAAAAAATGAACTGAAAAGATGAAGAAAAAACGAGATTCACAACAGAAATAAAATGAAAACATCAAATTCTTTCAGTGTGCATTAAGGAGTAGACACACCCGGCATTCTATAATTGTATCAGAATAGTAAAGTAACTTATTTATTTAACCCAATCATGTACATTACATCAATCACATAAGGTTGGAAATTATATATACATTACGCTATAATCAATGAGAGAAAAATTAGTTATTTAAATTAATGATATGTAAGAGGTGAAATATCAAGTCTTTTGTCATTCCCGAATAAATAAAAAACCTGCATTATTTAATTCCTAGGGTAGTGCACCATGACGCAGTGCACCATGACGCAGTACACTATGACGCAGTAACTACAGAACGGGAGCCAATCAGTGTCCAATAGACGCTGGCACGTTGTTTGATCTTTCTGAACTTTCAATTAATATCTGGAGTTGCTTTGAGACCCCCACCCCCCCCCTCCCCGCCAGTCGCTCACTTCCTAGCGCTGGTTCTACGCTAATGGCTAGTTATTCTCTCTGATCGTGTTGTTGATCGAGTTCTGATTCTACCTGTCCTTTCTGTTGCATTAATCCCTGTGCAACTTGGTATTTTTTCTCGATTTTTTGCAATATTTCTTTTTTATTAGTGTGTGTGTGTGTGTGTGTGTGTGTGTGTGTTCTATAAGTGTGTAAACGTTTAATGTAACTTAAAAGATATGCAATGTTTCTTCATCAAATTGTACTCAGGGGTGTTATCGTCGTACTCAAGGGGTTAAGTTGTCGTACTCAATAAGCTAAATCATTGTACTTGGAGTGTTAACATCGTACTCAAGGGGTTAAGTTATCATACTCAATAGACTAAATCCTTGTCCCGAGTCCAATAACTGGCTCCCTTAAACTCCAAATACGAAGTTTTATCGGACAAAATGACATCCACATTCCTCTGAGACTCTACTGTAACTGTAGATACGTTCTGCCGTTCCTCGTTCAGCCTGGGAAGAGATAACGAAGGAGACTTAGAGGCTTAGACAATTCGTGTAGTGGATGGGATGGGATGGGGTGGGATGGGATGGGATGGGATGGGATGGGATGGGGTGGGTGGGGTGGGATGGGATGGGATGGGATGGGATGGGGTGGGATGGGATGGGATGGGATGGGATGGGATGGGATGGGATGGGGTGGGGTGGGATGGGATGGGGTGGGATGGGATGGGATGGGATGGGATAGGATGGGAAGGGGATGGGATGGGGATGGGATGGGGTGGTATGGATGGGATGGGATGGGATGGGGTGGATGGATGGGATGGGGTGGGATGGGATGGGATGGATGGGATGGGATGGGTTGGGGTGGGATGGGATGGGATGGGATGGGGTGGTATGGGATGGGATGGGATGGGATGGGATGGGGTGGGATGGGATGGGATGGGATGGACCGCAATGGGTGAGGGAGAGGAAGAAGAGGAGGAAAAAACAGAAGAGGGTCAAGGTAGATACATAAGGGAGAGAAACAAGGAAGTCAAGCAGAGAAGATAAGAATGGACGCAAAAGAGAGAGAGAGAGGAAAAGGGGGAGAGGGGAATTTAAAAGGAAAGGAAAAAGAGACACAGAAGAAGGGAAAAAAAACTAGATTTTTGTTCTTATTATCTTCCCCGGTATTCATATATTTCTCTCCTAATTTTACACATTTTCTTTCCAGTTTTATTCCCCTCTCTCTCTCTCTCTCTGTATGACCTCACCAATTCTCTCCTCTTCTCCTTTCTCTTCCTCCTCCTCCTCTTCCTCCTCCTCCTCCTCCTCTTCCTCCCTCCTCCTCCTCCTCCTCCTCCTCCTCCTCCTCCTCCTCCTCCTCCTCCTCCTCCTCCTCCTCCTCTCCTCCTCCTCCTCCTCTTCCTCCCTCTTCCTCCTCCTCCTCCACCCCTACCGATAAGCTGTCCCATTCTTCTCTTTATATGATTTTCTTTTGTCCCCTTCCCTCCCTCCTTCTCTCTCCCCTTCCTTCTCTTCTCTCCCTTCATCTCCTTCCACTTTTCCTTCCTTTCTCCCTCCCTCTTTCCTTCCCTCTCCTTATGCTTCTCCTTCTTTCATTCTCTTCCTTCCTCCTTACCTCCTTCCCTCTCTCCTCACTCCCCTCCCTCCCTCCTCTCCATCCCCTCCTCCCTCTTCCCCTCCCTCCTCTTCTACCCCTCTCCTTCCCTCCCTCCCTTCCTCTCTCTCCATGTTTCAGTGATGGATGGTGGAACACAAACTGGAAATATACATTACACAGAATATACAAAACAGGGTCGTGTAGTTGACAGCCAGAGAAATAACCAGGCAGATGGATGAACTTACAAACAACCAGAGGGAGAGAATGTTACTCGTTATTATTAAGACAACTATAGACCTTTGTATGGTTAGGTTAAGTTAAGGTAGAGGGGCTTATACTAAAGACTTTATGATAATATACACAAGATTATTCCTCTTTGTAAGATCTCCTATCAAACTTCTCCTCTTCCTCTTCCTCCTCTTACTCCTCTTTTCGCCCCACCGATAAACTGTCTACATTTTTCCCTTTCATATGATTTATTTTTCTTCCTCCCCTTCCTAACTTTCCTCTCTTCTTCCCTCCCTCCCTCCCTCCCTCCCTCCCTCCTCCTCCCTCCTCCTCCTCCCTCCTCCCTCCCTCCCTTCTCTCTCCTTCTTTCCCTCCTTCCTTCCTTCTTCTTCTATACCAAATACAATTCATATAGGCAAAAAATTCTCTACTGAAGGAAATTGAAGGAAAAACAATTAAGCCTCCAGGTATTATTACGAGTCCAGGTAAAGTCATTCATTACCTTCTGTTTACCTGCCAGTCATCTCGATAGCTCCACGTCTCAGCTGACCACGCCCTTACCCACACTGAACCGTACTGCCAGCTATTAAGGCCTACTAATAAACCGCTAATTACCCTATAATAACACTAATTACTGTATAATAACCCACTAATTACTTTATTTGTGTGGTACATGAGTGCTAATACTGTCATTAATAACGTTAACTATAATACAGTAACACCAGACTGTAATCTTCCTGTTAAATACTGTAATTATGAGGTAATTTAAATTTATATAACATTACAGAAACACAAGAATAACAGGTTTAGAATACTGTAGTAGTTAAGGACTCAAGAACACTGATTCTTATCTAACAACCTGGTTCTCTGTAATTATCACTGAATGCGGATACAAATTGCAATTACATCATGTTAAAATGTGACACTGTTAAATTATCTATGTAACATAACCAAATTTTATTACTAGAGACAGAAATTCATCAATAGTTAATTTCATTCTTGTTATCGGAAATTAAGTTGACATCTTATCTGAGACCTTCACAACTTGCGGTTTTACATTTGTATGCTAACTATATAGATTCACTTGATTATCTTACTACATAAATTCCATTCATTATTACCGATTAATTATATATATTCCTCTACAAAATATTCTTAGTAATGTCTGATAATTACTCATCTCAAGGTAGAATTATTGACTCATGATGAAAGGAATAATTTTGACCCATTGTGATATACTCATCCCTACCAGGTTAAGGCTTCTGCAGCGTTTAACATACACGGTAACTTAAGCTGTTTGTAAGCCGTGAAAACTTGTGTCTGTCTGGACTTTTAAACGTGTAAGTAACTTTTGTTCTAAACTTTATCGAATCAGCTTCATTTAGGGAACGAAAACGTGAATGTTGTTTGATTTTTTGAGGAGGGGGGGGGAATCAGGTGTGTTTGTTGATCTTACACACCTGTTGATTATAATTATTCTAAGTTCACACACCTGTTGACGAAAACTAATCTAATCTCACACACGATCTAATTACCATAAGTATTCTATAAACTACTGATTAAATTAGCGTAGAATTCTAACCAAATGGAAGTGAATCAATTTACATCTATCAATAATATTTATCTGTTCTTTAAGTAAAAAATAAAGAGGATATTTTATGCCCAACTAAGCACTCAGTGATGCTTGTTGCAGAGCTTCTTAGAGTGAGATGCTGTACACACACACACACACACACACACACACACACACACACACACACACACACACACACACTTATCAGGAATCATTTTGCAATTTTGTGTTGATATTGCAAGGTAGCCATATATACGAAAGAGATGGAAAAGGTGGATGAAGGAAATGAAATGGTGGATGAGGGTTGGACAGAAGGTTGGATGAGGGTTGGAAGGATGCATGAGAGGAAGGAATAGGTGATTAAAAACATCATATAGAACTAATCCATCCACCCTGTTGAAACACTACATGAGCTCCCAGCCAACCAGGGACCTCCAATGCTCCTCTCGTTAAATCTCTCAGCCAATTGGAAATCGCCCTGTGGGTCCTTTGTTACGTGATGTCCAATGTCATTTAACCCTTTACCTTATCGCAGCTCAATCGAACCGTCTAGGAGAACGTTGTTAAGTCTATTGGACATATTGTGCTGGGAGGTTGTAGTAACATGCTGGCGAGGCCCTCTGATGGTGAGGCCCTCTGGTGGTAAGGCCCTCTGGTGGTAAGGCCCTCTGGTGGTGAAGCCCTCTGGTGGTAAGGCCCTCTGGTGGTGAAGCCCTCTGGTGGTAAGGCCCTCTGGTGGTGAGGCCCTCTGGTGGTGAGGCCCTCTGGTGGCAGGAGGCCCTGGTGGTGAGGCCCCTGGTGGTGAGGTTCTGGTGGCGAGGCCCTCTGGGTGGTGAGGCCCTCTGGTCAGGAGGCCCCTCTGGCAGGAGTCTCTGCGGGTGAGGCCCTCTGCAGGCGTCTCTGCGGTGAGAGGCCTCTGTAGAGGCCCTCTGGTGGTGAGGCCCTCTGGTGGTGAGGTCTGGCATGAGGCCCTCTGGTGGTGAAAGGCCCTCCTGGTGCAGGGAGGCCCTGGGTGGTGAGGCCCTCTGTAGGAGGCTCCTCAGGAGGCCCCTCTGGTGGCGAGACTGGGTGGCGAGGCCCCTGGTGGTGAGGCCCTGGGTGGTGAGGCCTCTGCGGTGAGGCCCTCTGGGTGAAGCCCTCTGCGGTGAGAGGCCCCTCTGGTGTTGAGGCCCTCTGGCAGAGGCCCTCTGGCAGGAGGTTCTTCTGGTGGAGGAGGCCCTCTGGTATGAGAGGCTCCTCTGGTGGCGAGGCCCCTGGTGGCGAGAGGCCCTTCTGGTGCAGGCCCTGGTAGAGGCCCTGGTGGTGGAGGCCCCAGGCTGGTGAGGCCCTGGTGGCGAGGCCCTCTGGCAGGAGGCCCTGCGTTGAGGCCTCGGTGGTGAGGCCCCCTTGCATGAGGCCCTCTGGTGTTGAGGCCCTGGTGGCGAGGTTCGCGGCGAGGCCCCTCTGGTGGTGAGGCCCTTGCGGTGAGGCCCTCTGCGGTGAGGTTCTCTGGTGGCGAGGCCCTCTGGTATGAGAGGCCCTCTGGTGGTGAGGCCCTCCTGGTGGTGAGGCTCCCTGGTGGTGAGGCCCCTGGTATGAGAGGCCCTGGTGGCAGGCCCTGGGTGGTGAGAGGCCCTTCTGCGTTGAGGCCCTGGTGGCGAGGCTCCTTTCTTGGTGGCGGAGGCCCTCTGGTGGCGAGGCCCTCTGGTGTTGAGGCCCTCTGGTGTTGAGGCCCTTCTGGTGCAGGAGGTCTTCTGGTATGAGGCCCCGTGGTGGTGGAGGCCCTCTGCAGGGGAGGCCCTGGTGTTGGCGTGCCGCCCCTGGTGGTGAGGGGCCCTGGTGGCGGAGAGGCTCTCTGGTGTTGAGGCCCTGGTGTTGGAGGCCCTGGTGCTGAGGCCTCTGGTGTTGAGGCCCCCAGTGGTGCAGGCCCTGGGTGTTGAGAGGCTCTGGTGGTGAGGCCCCTGGTGGTGAGGCCCTCTGGTGGTGAGGCCCTGGCGGCGAGGTTTCTGGTGTTGAGGCCCCTGGTGTTGAGCCCTGGGTGTTGAGGCCCCCTGTTGAGGCTCCCTCTGGTGTTGAGGCTCTGGCAGAGGCCCCTGGTGGTGAAGCCCTTCTGGTGAGGCCCTGGTGAAGTTCTCTGCACACATTTTCGAGTTAGCCTGACTGCCATCCTCGTTAAGGACACGAGAGACAAACTATTGGTGTATGTATGTATGTATGTATGTATGTATGTATGTATGTATGTATGTATGTATGTATGCATGTATGTATGTATGTATGTATGTATGTATGTATGTATGTATGTATGTATGTATGTGTGTATGTATGTATGTATGTATGTATGTATGTATGTATGTATGTATGTATGTATGTATGTATGTATGTATGTATGTATGTATGTATGTATGTATGTATGTATGTATGTATGTATGTAAACAAATATCCTCTCCAATTCGCAAGTAAAAAATCAACAACATTGTTTAATTCACTAATGTTAAAAATTTGGGTTCCCGAAATCTGCTATGAATTGGTTTATCACAGGCTTTATGAGGACGTGGGTATTGATGTACTGTATAGGCGGTAGACCCAATACACTATTGATTACCACTTACCAGTGACAAATATATATATATATATATATATATATATATATATATATATATATATATATATATATATAGAGATATATATATATTTATATATATATGCAATTCATGGTTATAAATATATAAATTCAAACACACATCGATCAACAGTGAGACATGATATATGTACCCTGCATGTACTAGTGACTGGAGATGCAGAGGCGATGATCTGACTGGTATATCGTTACTGCTCCAGTCTTATTGATGTCCTTACCCGTGGACACTCCCCTACCTGTACACACCTTACCTGTGTAAACGCCCCTTACCTGCAACTCTTACCTGTACACACACTCCATCTGTAAACGCCCCCACTTGTACACACACCACTTACCTGTACACACCCCCTACCTGCACACACCTACCCACACACACTCATCTGTAAACGCCCCTACCTGTACACACCCCTACCTGTACACACACCTTATCTGCAAACGCCCCTCACCTGCAATAACACAACTTACCTGTACACAATTTCTTACCTGCACACACACCTTATCTGTAAACGCCCCTTACCTGCACACACCCCTACCCGTACACACACCTTAGCCTGTAAACGCCCCACCCAAAAAATACACCACTTAATGCCTGTACACACCCCTATTTGTACACACCCCCTACCTGCACACACACCTGGCCTGTAAACGCCCCTTCCTGCACACACCCCTACCTGTACACACACCTGAGCCTGTAACTGCCTTACCTGCACACACCCCCACTCTGCACACACACCTTACCTGTAAACGCCCCTCACTCAGGCCACACCCCTTACCTGCACACACACACCTTATCTGTAAACGCCTCCCTTACCCTGTAATATCACACTTATTTTGTAAACGCCCCTCATTTGTACACACCACTTACCTGTAACATTCCCTTACCTGCACACACCCCTTACCTGTACACACCCCCTTACCTGCAAAACGCCCTTACCTGCACACACACCCTTACCTGTAGACACCCCTTACCTGTACACACCCCTTACCTGTGGACATCCCTCTCTCATGTTATTAATAGAGAAGTCGCACATATAACTTACAAGTTAGATGAGTTAACTAATGGCAAAGCACATGGCTAAGCTTAGGCTAAGAAGAAGAAATAGGTTAGGTTAGAAGAAGTTAGGCTTAGTTGTGTTAGTTAGGCTAGGTTGCTAGGTTAGGCTAGGTTAGGCCAGGTCAGGTCGATAAGGTTGTCAGTGGTCCATTTTCTTCAGCGTCTTCTCCGTGTCTTTTAAAATATATTATCTGTGTCAGAATTCCATGAGAATTTCCCAAGTCTCTGTCTCCAGTATCTGTAAAACGTGTCATTAACTGTTTACACAAGGAAGTGACCTGTTTTTGCACAGATGTGACGTAGGAGACCTCAAGACCCGGCGCACGATGAGCCTAGTAATCCAATTTCGAATTAAATTAAGCAAATTTTGATGACTCCAAGTTGTGTCAGAAATGTGGAGGCGAGGAGAGAAGGTGAGGAGAGTGGGAGGTGGGAGAGAGGGAGGCGAGGGTGAGTACAAGGTAGAGGCTTAAGGGAGGCTCAGGTGAAACAGAGGCTACAGGTGCACAGGTACGGCCTTGGGACAGGTACGGGTCTTTGGGACAGGTAATGGCCTTGGGGACAGGCATGCCTGGGGCAGGTACTGGTCTTGGGACAGGTACGGGTCTTGGGGACAGGTACGGGCCTTGGGGCAGGTACTGGTCTTGGGACAGGCATGGGTCTTGGGGACAGGTACTGGTCTTGGGACAGGTACGGGTCTTGGGACAGGTACTGGTCTTGGGACAGGTACGGGGTCTTGGGGGACAGGCATGGTCTTGGGGAAGGTGCATGGGCCCCACAGGTACGGGATGTAACAGGGTACGGGTCTTGGGGACAGGTACGGTCTTGGGACAGGTACGGGTCTTGGGACAGGTACGCCTTGGGGGCAGGTACTGGTCTTGGGACAGGTACGGGTCTTGGGACAGGTACGGGTCTTGGGACAGGTATACGATAAGGATAAAGCCTAGATAAGGTAACAACGACATAATTAAACCATAAAAATATAAAAATAAATAAAACTATTGATGGTTTGAGACGTTTAAACCATCATCCTTCGACAAGATATTTACAATAGATAATTCCTTATATGTAACTACCAATATTCACCTCATTACCAAACCACGTCATTCATCGAAGTAATTATAGCTCCCCACCAGCCAGAGAGTCATAGTTTCATCTTCCAGTACGCGGTCTATCACTAAAATACATAAGGTAACTTGGTAAATATATTTCCAACGTTACAAACATGATATGACCAATGGTTTAACTTCTTGTGGTGTCCATTGAACTCTCGGGTCAATAATAATAACGTCAATGATACTCAAATAGAAGGAGAAATTTTAGTAATTTGTTCTTCGTTTAAATTATATATCCCCCCCCTCCCTCACCACCCACCACCCCTTCATCCCTCACCCCTCCACACCCTCCCTGAGCCCCTTCCCACCCCTCACCCCCTACCTCGTGATGATAGATGCACTTAAGCTGAGAGTGGTTCAGAGTGACTCCAAAACACTCTTAAATCTTTTACGAAGGAAAGGAGACAAAGTTCTCTGGAGGTGACCCAAATCTTATTAGGTCTTGTTTCTGATTAGATTATGTTCAAAGAGGAAGAACGTAAGTCTGTTCTCCAAATGAGTCTTTTAAAGCTGTCTCAAACTTGTTCTGATCTCTGCTTTTTGGGTGATTGAGAGTTTGTTCAGAGGGCCACAAGGGTCTTTGGTCCTAATGTAAAGCTCTTTTGCAGGGAATGATAGGAGATTCGATAGGGTGCTTGAGAGCTTTTTATTTTGATGAGCAGTTTTTTTCTTAAAGATATACACGACAGTGATTTATTTTTCAGAATAAATTTGTTTTGTGAGTTTTTAATATCGTGTAATATTTTTTTTTTAATATTGTAATACGAAAAAAAAGTTTTTATAGGAAGTTGGTTTGAAATAAAAAAACTAGATTATAATAAAAAAAAAGATAGCACACAAAAACACAAAGACAGATGAACGAAAGACAAAGAAAGAGAGAAAGGAAAATTAGATAAATAGATAAGGAGAGAGAGAAAGAAATTATGTAATGAGAGAGAATGAGTGAAAGAAAGAAAGAAAACACCTAACTAAACAGTTCTCTCTAGAGGCTGTGTTAAGACCCTCCTAATACACCCAGAGCTCCTTCCTTCCTCCTTCCTTCCTTCCTTCCTTCCTTCTTCCTTCCTTCCTTCCTTCCTTCTTCCTTCCTTCCTTCCCTTCCTTCCTTCCTTCCTTCCTTCTTCCTGCCTGCCTGCCTGCCCGCCTGCCTGCCTGCCTGCCTTTCTTCCTCCTTCCTTCCTTCCTTCCTTCCTTCCTTCCTTCCTTCCTTCCTTCCTTCCTTCCTTCTTTCCTTCCTTCCTTCCTATCCTGTCAAACCCTCCCAAGCAGCTGGACCAAAATACACCACAGTTTTACGCCACGACGACTTACTTCCAAATGTCTCACACACACACACACACACACACACACACACACACACACACACACACACACACACACACACACACACACACACACGCACACTGGAGATTAGCATCAGGATTATTTATAAGGATTTTGATATATAATCGTTGTATTTAATTTGGTAGTCATTTATGGAGACCAGTTTGGGATGAACATTAGCGGCTGGTTAGGTTAGGTTAGGGTTAAGTTAGATACAATCATAACAGACCTAGGAAGAATGAGGGGGGTGGGGTGGGGGGGGGACATTAAAAAAACACCATTAACATACGTACAAACAAACACAATATAAGAACAAACACAAAACACAAATATATAGACAATAACAGGACAAAAAACTAAATTCCTTCAAATCACAAATACAAAACAAACACAAAAAAAAACACAAACAAACAAAACAAACACACACTCCCATAAAAACAACCAAACAAACAAAACACACAAATACAACAGATACACAGCGACAGTCCCGGAAATGAGGGCCCAGTTACCGGGAAATTTGTGTAGAGGATTGCGGTGTGATGCTGTTCCCTCCCCAATTACCTGTCCGGGCAGGTGTCAACCCTGTCAGGGAGGTATGAAGGTGAGGGGAGGTGGGAGGCCAGATCGTTGTTACATGTAAAAAAACAGACAGTGATAGTGATGAAACATGTTGATAGTGACATTACAGGTGTGATGGTGTTAAAACAGGTGTGATAGTGTTAAAACAGGTGTGATGGTGTTAAAACAGGTGTGATGGTGTTAAAACAGATGTCATAATGTTAAAACAAGTGTGATGGTGTTAAAACAGGTATATAAACAGTCCAATAATCCACACTGGTATATAAACGATATAAACTCACATATATGTAACCAAATGATGCCCAGTAAAGCTTCATTAACCAACAGCAGTAAAAGTTTCAGTCACTGTGATGAGATAGCTCGAAGCAACATGTGAAAGTTTGAAGCAAAAATTCGAGATTGTTTGAGTTTATCTCGCTGACCAGTTTAGAATAATTCATGAACCTGTATTTGTTGGGATGTTAAGGAACAGTTGTAAATAGTTCGTACCATGGATGTGAAGCAGTTTCGAATAGCGTGTTATTGTTATCCTAGCCAAGATATCCAATTCAGTAAACAATAAACAAAGACTCGAAATATTGCCCTTGGAGTTTTTGAAGCAGTGGTTCGAGATACCAACCAACGATATTTCGAGTTATTGAAGCAAAAATCACTCTTAACGTTATTCAGCCTCCCGAGTATTTAAATTAATGTTCCGAATATCAAACTTCATATATTTGGTGAAATGGTTCGATACATCAACCACTTTGGAGCTCTTTAAACAATGATTCGAAACTGTCTTTGAAATAATGACACAGGATATCAATCATCTTGGAGTAATGTCTCGAGATATTAATATTCTTGAAGCAATAACTCGAACTGTCATTTTCTTTTAAGTAATGTTTCTCAAGATATTAATTATCTTGAGGGAAAAGTTTGAGATTAATGAAACTCCGAGGCCAAGATATATCTCTCTCTCAGTTATAAGAGGAACAGTAAACGATAGAGGTTGTGTTTGAGGTTTGGTTCATGTGATGGAGAGACGTTGATGCAAGAGACACGTTAAGAGATAGAGAGACTTACTGACCATTAAAAGAGACATAGAGACCTACTGACAAAGAGACAATGGAGAAGAGAGTACACAAAATGGAAAGAAAAACAGAAATACACAGCAAGGAAACAGACAGAAAGACAGAACAAGATAAAAATAAAACAAAACAGAAAGACATCCAAAGGAGAAAACGAAACAAAAACGAATAAAACAAGAAAAAAAAATAATAAAATATCCAAAGAAAAGAAAGATTAAAAAGAAAAGATAAACACCCATGCTAAACAGATGCCCCCAAAAACACTAACCTTCCTCCCAACCTTCCCCCCCCCCCACCCCTTCATTCTTCCTCCCTACATCACCCTCCTCTCAACCCCCCCAGGTAATCTCTCCCACAGGATCCCCTTCAGGAACAATGTATAAGGAATTAAACATTATCCCATGAGTAACGAGACAGGGATGAGGGGTGAAGAGGAGGGTGTGTTAGGTACTGTTTTATTAAGGTGTCGATAGTCGTAGATATGTGGGTAATAATCTTTAGTACATGATGGACCTGTGTTATCTAGGGTGGTGGATGGGTGCTGAAATTTATTAAAGGCTGGAGCGATGGTTGTGATAATAATGATAATAAACAATAATAAACCTTATCATTTCGTTTAGGTAGAATTAATCTAAACTACCGAATAAATATTAAGATTTCTTTAATCTTACTGACTGTTCCCGCGCCTGTCTGGAATCTGATGCATTTTCCAATATTCTTTCGCCACAAATTGGTTTTTTTTTTACATAGATGTTATTGGGATTTTTTTGTGGTTTTGTTTTTCTTTAGTAATTATTCTATTTTATTTGTTTATTTGATTGTGTTTTTATTTATTTTCGATTTTTTCTCGTTTTTTTTCCGTTGGTTTTCGTTTTTCTTTTAGGTTATAAATGAAAATAAAAGCGAAAACTAACGTAAAAACGAAAGAAAAACAGAAAAACAAACACAAACAAAGACAAAAGCCTCTTAACCTTGTTCTTTTATTTCTCTCTTTCGCTTTTTGTTAAGTTTGTAATAGACTGATTTTCCTTTCAGTATATTCTTTCGGTTTGTATTTATTCTATTCTAATTTATTCCGTTCTATTCATTTTTCTCCCGTTTTATCCTAATCTAATATGTTTTATTTTTAAATTAGTGTTTTATTCAGATTTTTTATTTTAATGTAATTTTTTTTTTGGTTTATTCTATTTCACACACACACACACACACACACACACACACACACACACACACACACACACACACACACACACACACACACACACACACACACACACACACACACACACACACACACACACACACACACACACACACACACACACACACACACACACCTAACTCGTCTTGTGTACACTCCAGTAGATTCTCTCTGTCTTCCATCCTTCCCTTCCTCCTCCTACTCCCCTTTCTTCTCCCTTCCCTCTACTCCTCCCCCTCTTCCTCTCCTCCCACTCATACTCCTCCTCTCCCTCCCTTCTCCTCTCCCTCTCCTCCTCCTCCTACACCATCCTTGAAATCTCACTTTAAATTTACTCTAAAACGTTGTACATTTTAACCACTAATTCTTCTTCTCTGTATTAATGATCGTGTATATGTATCTAATTACCTGTATGGTACTGTATTAATGTATGGATGTATGTATGTATGATGGTTAGCTGTGTATGTTTCCTTCATTGTGTTAAGATTTCAATGTTTTCTCTCTGTCTCTTTTGTTTCTCAGTCTAATTAACTTATTGTGTCGTTCTCTTTGTCTGTCTATCTGTCTGTCTGTAGGTTTTTATCTGTTTTTTTCTTTTCCTCTATTTTTTCTGACTTTTCTTTCCTTTTTAATGTCACCTCTCTCTCTCTCTCTCTCT